AAAAGGGGAAAAATCAACACGTAACTTTGCACTGCGCAAAGCGGTTTTTGGGTTACGACGAAGTTTTTCGTCCACTACAAAAGTTGATAATCGGATTGGATCCTTGGGGCTTAACGGTCAAAACGCCATAAGTGAAGCTTCGTTCAGTGAGACAACCTTTACAGGAATGGAGTATCAGGACGTGCCCGAGACTAAAGTTCTGGGAACGTGGGCGCGCGGACGTTATGGCTTGGGCGTGGGCGGTGTATAACGGTTAATCGAAAGCGTTCCGGGGCTGGGCTGGGCAGCGCCGTGTCTATGCGTTTGGCCTGGCTTGGGCGTATAGGATACTTCGCAATTTTGCACGTTAATAATCTGTGTGCGTCAACGTATAAAAACGCGAGTTTTTTCGACGACCCTACAACCAAGAAAAGAGTTAGTATCCCGCACAGTGTTTCCCGGAAGGGTCTGCAACCCTAAAAGCGTAGAACTCTTTCACAATAACTTTTTCGGTGACTAAGAAGGCGATACTCTCGAAGTGGGGAGCGTAAGGTCTTACACTGCGGCGAGTCGTCGTCTAACTACGCCACGGTCTAAAACTTTACTAATAACGCCCCCCTCTCCAGACTCCTAAATTTGTAATTTGATTTATAATAATGAAAAAAATATATAAATAATCCTTTGTGGGCGCTGGGCTGGTGTAAGAAGAAACAAAATGGGTCTTTGGGCTTGGGCCTTTTTCACAAACTGTCCATGGTGGGAAACGCTTAGGTGAAAAAAACCCACCAGGTGGGAACAGCCCATGGGCTGGCTACGTCCTGAAGGACGGAATGAGAGATGTAAAACGATAAATAATAAATACTCAAAGTAAGTACTCTACCTACGGAAACGAGAGTATGTTTTACTTTCGAAAAAATCATGATAGACTCGGGACATCTCGTTTCTCCTACAGGTGTGCCGATGATTTCCATATTGTGAAGTGTTGTCGCGTTTGTAAGTCACAGATAACAATACTTTTCTAGTTTTGCCTATCCCCCTGTGTGCCTTGGCAGTATTAAATACTTCTGAAATCAAGTGTAGAAAAAAATACAGCTATGGCTCAGCAGAGGGTGATGTTGCCTCTGTGATCAACACCTAGAGTTTGAACATTTAGCACATAGTCTGTTGTCTTTGTGCATGTCAATGACCTTCAAAGCCTAGTTAACATCTGCCTTAAACACCTCGATTGGACTTCTGTAACATAAAGAAAAGAACTGCAGCAGCACAGGCAGTATGAGAAAAATGAAGACCTTTTTGAATATTAAAGCATGTAAACGTGTCCCAGTAGCGACACAAAATACAAATATGAGCCTGAAAATAAGCATTCAAGGGCCCCTTGAATTACTCTTACACTTTCCAGTATGTTGCTTTTACCCATCAGCTCCTTTTACCCACCTCATGACTTTCTGCTTTATAGTAGTTTTTTCCATATCTATTGCATCAGCCATTTAACTGACTCATCATCTACTTTAGTTGATGACAGGAAAGAAAACACTACAGACTTGTACAATCCTCCAGTGTGTTCACAGTTTATCATGATGCTGGGAAGCTAAGATGATATGATTTTCACTGAGGGCGTACCTTCTCGTCGCCCGCCTTAGGCACATGTTGGAAGTGACAGACCTTGAATCGACAGAACAGCGAATCACTGAAGTACTGTCTGCAGTACTGAGGGTTTAGAGAAAGAGACAAGTCACATATTAACTCAATTACAATTAAAGCTGCGCCAGGGCACTTTACAGGTCTTGATTAAACATCATTAACAAACCAAGCATAATACATCTCCCGGCACAAGGCAATTATTCAACTCATACTTAACGCTACATAATTCATTCCAAATCAGCTGGAAACCATCTTGTGCTACTTTATAATTGAGAAATGTGGCAAAAAAATAATCTTTAAATCACATCATAAAGAACAGATGTTATACCAGACGTGTGTAATGTATGCAGCCAGATTGTGTCCCCCTGCTATCCCTAGCATTAAGTTAGAGATCCTAAAAACAGCGCAGTTCTTTTTTGAATTTGTACTATTAACATAATTTTTTAACTGAAAATTAAATCACCACCTGGGATTAACGTGTCTAAACAAACTACCCCGCCAACGGAGCCCTCCTGAAATTCAAGGTGTCTAATTTATTTTCTTATTAAATCACCAAATTGCAACTAATCTATCTGCTGTCACTTTTCACATTGAACATGTGCTCATTTATTAAATAAACTAAACACTTTCATTGTAAGTTTAGTGTTTTTGACCCTAAGAAACACTGATGCATCAATCAATAACACGGTAGTTTTAGTCAAAATACATATCGTTGTAAATTTTTGCTAAAAAACCAGACTCGGGTTCACGACATGTACGATTATTTCGTGTGTTGTAATACGTTCTTTTCTGTTCTGTGATGTGTCTTTATATTCTTGTTTTGTGTCCTTAACAAGTACCCATTTATTGGTACCACAATAAGGGTCTTTGCTGGTTTCTTAGATACGAAGTGTTTTGTTGTCCAAAGGAGATCCAAAATGACGCCAACTACCCCCGCGACCACGGGGACTGACGCTACCCCCCCGCCGTATATATAAAAAAATTTAGGATACCTCGTCTCTCTC